TTCTACATCGTTCCACATACTTCTATCAACTTCCCGCACTGTCGCTTACTCAGCTAGACACTTGTATATATAGTACAGTAAGCTGACACCTAGTTCCCCATCTTGACCTCTTGGTCTTTGGAACTAGGTTAGTACTTGTATCATCGTTTATCTTCAATATATTTACTTGGTCTTTGGAACTAGTTTTCCTTGTGCGACCCTAGTGATTGGCCCTTGCGCTATCACTGCTGTCTTGATCCTTATTTCTTTCAGCCTTCGTGTGTGGTGCTAGCCCCACCCTCGCCTTGGCTTGTGCTTTGAGCCTGTGCCTCCTCTGTGCCTTCTCCCTTCGTCACCACATTAGGTCAAGATCTCTACTTGTACCATCAGCCTTTCCAACTGATCCTACGAGGAGTGGAAATCGGACTTATCTGGTTCCCCACCAGACATTGATTGTTCAGGATTTCAGCATGCATTTGATATTCAAGATCAGTGCGACGTTCATTCTAAATACAATCCAGACAAAGAACACAACACTTGGTTTGACTGCAATGAAAATCCTTGCCCCAACCGATACTGTAACCCGGCTCCCATCACTCCAAGGGATTCAGGAAACGGACGATTCATAGACATCCCTAGAATTCCAAGCCGAGTTCCGAGCCAGGTTGGTAGACTTTCAAACCCTACCAGTGCTGTACCATCCGTTAGATCCTCCCCTGCGCTTATTCCCACTGCGATCCTAGAACCTGAGCTAGAAACTGAAGCCGACCCTGTCGCATCAACCCCATCCCCAGAGCCTATTGTCATTGATATCTTGGTTACACCAGAACCGGTATCCCCATCTCCTGAGCCCATTCTCATTGAAAACACCTCTATCATGTCTCATCCTCCTACCACCCAAGACCTTGCGGTGTTGATCCAACAACTCGCCACACAACAGATGGCACTACAATCAGCAGTAGCCAGCATTGCCAACAACATAAGCACCAACAAAGGTGTTAGCAAACCCCAGACGTATGATGGGAAGCGTAGTGACAATGCATGATGCTTCATTGCGGCCTTCAAACTATGGGCCCAGGGTATCCATTCCCTCAGTAATGAACAGGAAAAAATCAAATCAGCCATCTCATACCTTGATGGTGACGCAGCTATCTAGGCTACTCCCACCTCAGAGAACATTAGTCAAATTGCTCGAGCGGATGCTGCAGGAGTACCAGCTCCTGCCCTCCTCTACCCCACCTGGGCTGATTTCACTGGCACCTTTAGGCAACGGTTTGAAACAGCAGATCCAATGGTAGAGGCCAAACGAGTTCTGAAAAGCCTTTGGCAGGGAAAGGACCGGGTAGCAACATATGCTGCGACCTTCAAACAGTATGCTAGTAGGACAGGATACTCGGATGCTGACCTTCGAGATTGGTTCTATGATCACCTCTTGAAGTGATTCAAGGACGGATTGGTCAACTCACAGGCTAACACAGATCAGATGAATGCGCTGATCAATGAAGCAATCCACATCGACAACCGGCAGAATGAACGGGCTGATGAGGAAGGGAAGCAATACACCCGGAACACTCCCAACTTCAGTTCCTATACCCCTATGTCCTTTGTGCCGGCCTGTGATTTAAACGCAATGGATGTGGATGCTACCACTACGGGACGATCTGCAGAAGACTATCACAGGTCTATGATGGGAAGATGCTATGATTGCGGGTCCAGAGAACATCAAAAGGCAGATGGGCATCACGAACGGGATGTTTGCAATCACTGTGGACTAACTGGGCATGTGGCAGCCATCTGCCGTAGGAAGTTCTTAGGACTTCCAAGACCTCCCCCTCACTCTGCAGCTGCCACTTCTATTGTCGCTGAGCCCTCCACCTCCATTGCTGCTACAATGCCCGCCCCAGCCGCTGACTTCACAAAGATTCTTCAGATGCTCACTGCTGGGCAGAAAGAATTGGCAGAGCAAATGGCAGAGCTGCACTCAAATTTTTAAAGTGGGAACCTGCCATGGCTGCTGCCTGGTTCCCTAGTCTGTACTCCTCGTCTACCTCTATCTATGCATCTATACCCTCGTGTACAATTGGTTCTGCTCAATCTAGTGACATTTCTCACTTCCGCATACCAATTAAGTTGCAAGGCAGATTCAAGAATACAGACAGCACAGCAATGATAGACTCCGGTGCCACCGGTCTCTTCATTCATGACCGCTTTGTGAAACAACATCGGATCCTTTCTCGTCGTCTCCTTCATCCAATCACCCTCTATAACGTTGATGGGTCTCTTAACATGGCAGGGCAGATCACGCACTCTGTACATCTACTCTCCACAATAGACCGAAACAAACCCCAGCTCCTCGAATACCTCGTCACCAACCTCGGGTCTGAAAATATCATCCTTGGACTTCCATGGCTCTGAAAGGTCAACCCGGACATTGACTGGAGAGAAGGGCGATTGGCTATCACCCCTCCCAGAAAAGCTCCACCCCCCATGACCATCGAAGTGTTGAAGGGTAACTTGGCACAGTTGATGTTGCACACTTATTGCAGCTAAGGCTGTAGACAATAGAGTGTACCCCCGTCAGAAACACTGCTGTTGCAGTCTATGTACAAGGGTAGTGTTGTACTATTGACCTTGCAGACTCCTCAATACTCCAATAGACACTAATAGTGAATATTGATTTGGTTCCTTCTAACTGTAGTAGGAATACAGGTCTGTTTGGTCTTGTATGTACTAAAAACGCATGAGGCGTGATAATAGGTGTCCACAATTGTGCGCTCCTATAAGAAATGGAAAAGACTCTGAAAAATGAAGAAATGAAGGTGTAAGTAATGTTATAAGTAAAGTAGTGGATACAGTAGTTAGTTTATAAGTAATGTATGTACTTTATATGTAAACTAACTATGTAGGAAGTGTTCTATCACTACAATTAACACGAAGAAGTCCCAGAACCCAAGGAAAGTAACGTGGGGGGAACCACCTCACACCTCGTAGAAGCTAACCCAGACTGGAGCCCCACGTCAGCTCCACGAGTTCACTTCTCCATCCCAGAGCCTGATGATTACCCCCAAGTGCCCAAAGAAACTCATCCACTTCCAATGCCCGATCCAGAGATACACGAATACACTGAAAGCACACCTCTGTATCGACTGATAGGCAACAGGAAAAGAAGGAGGGCATTACTCCAAGCTGGAATCATCGGCCATACGTCGGAAGAGCTTTGGTGTTCCGCTGGGTACACATACTCCCAGCAACTTGCAGAGGCTGCTTACAAAGAAAAGCCATCAAAATCATTCGAAGAGATGGTCCCCTCCTCATATCAGCAACATGCAAAGGTTTTCTCAGAGAAAGAATCAGAACGATTACCAGAACATAAACCTTGGGACCACGCCATAGATCTGAAACCTGACGCTCCTGAAACCATGCGGAATAAAATCTATCCCATGTCCCCAAATGAACAGGAAGAACTAGATCGGTTCTTGGAAGAGAATCGGCACAAAGGCTACATCTGTCCCTCCAAATCACCACTGGCATCTCCGGTTTTCTTTGTCAAAAAGAACGATGGCAAACTTCGATTTGTACAGGATTACTGGCGACTCAATGAATACATGGTAAAGAATCAGTACCCACTTCCCCTTGTCACGGACATTGTTAGCCAACTGCACAAAGCCAAGGTCTTCTCCAAAATGGATGTCCGCTGGGGGTATAACAACGTTCGGATTAAAGAGGGCGACGAATGGAAGGGAACATTCACAACAAACCGAGGACTCTTTGAGCCCCTCATCATGTTCTTTGGCCTGACAAACTCACCCGCTACATTCCAAGCCCTCATGAACTCCATATTTGCTGACCTCATTGCTGCTGGGAAGGTGGCCGTTTATCTGGACAACATCCTAGTTTTTACTGAAACCCTTAAGGAACATCAAAGTATAGTCAACGATGTGCTTACACATCTCAGCAAATACAACCTATATCTGTGACCAGAGAAATGTGAATTCGAACGGCCTTCCATCGAATACCTAGGCTTGGTAATCAGTGAAGGAGAAGTGCGAATGGACCCAGTCAAAATAGAGGCAGTTAGTAATTGTGTTAAGATTGTTCCGGTGAGGTTCCGTGAGGTCTAGTGTGAATAGTATAGTACAGAGTGTGCCGATAGTCCCCGGGTTTGAGCAGTAACTACCAATCAGTAGAAAGGTAGAATGTAAAGTCAAACAAGAACCTTAGCACCACTTTCAGTAGTGCTCCCGCTATGTCGTAGTGGTTCCGTGGATGTTCATACATTTCGGACGTCCAGAAGTCAACCGGATAAGTTTGGACAACTATCAAGTTAGACTGGAAAGTCTGGATGGAGTTATAGGGATAACCTCTCTAGATCGGAATGATCTAAGTTGATATTTAAACTGGAGAACTATCTACTGGACACTAATGCTTATATACCAGTAATCCTAATTGTTAAAAGAAGAACAATGAGTATCTGGAATAAAACAATAAGTATTGTAAAAAGTTCCCATAATATAATTAAAAGATAATAGGGTGGGAATTAAAAGTAATCATATCTGTTAATATTGGATGTCGTCGTACGGTCCAGTCCCGAACCAATAAGGAAAGGATAGGAATGAATTACCATTGTCGTTTCCGTAACTTCCAGATGTTCCGTACAAGGTAGCGGAAGCATACCCATAACAGTATCCCCCTATTAGGCTTTTGCCCTCAAAAGCCTCGTACGACAGCCGTTCATTGGAAAAGTATTGATCCAATCAACAGATTGGAAAAGAAAATACTAATCAGAAAGTTTCGGAATTTGATCGGTCAGCCACGTTATGGTTGGTAGGCTATAAATACCCATTCGAATAAAATTTTCTAAGTCCCCACTTTCTCTTTCTTGTTGACTAAGCAATTGAATCCTGGTTATATAACTCTAGTGCTAAGAAGACTAACCGCTTCAGCACAATATGAGTTTGCACCAGTTGAGTGACTAACCATCCTCATAGTGACTAAGGCTTAACAAACCTACTCTTACCATTGACATGATAGCTCAGTGGTTAGAGCACCAGTCTAGAGTACTGTGTGGTTGCTGGTTCAATCCCAGCTTGTGTCAACATTTATTTTCCCTTCTATGTAAAGATCACTTGATCGTGTCAAGCTACTGCCACACTTGTCACACGGTCACCTGACCTCTAACAGAATCGTACAACAATTTTAGTTGATGTCCTGCAAGGGTCCCGGCTTTGATGGGTATCGGTTATGGAATTCTCCAAGGAGTTCATCGGCATGCATTTCGTCGGCTCTGATCCACGAGAATTCCTCTTTGGTACCTTCATAACCTTTCCAACAGATAAAGTACCATAATGGACACCATCGGTACCTATGATCCATTTTCGAATCTAGGATCTCTGCAACTTCAAACTCCTGTTCACCATCTACCTCAATTGGAGGTGGCAGAGCTTGTGTGCGGTTAGGTATCGGATTGGGAGTGTACGGTTCCAATTGGGAAACATGAAATATGGGGTGTATTCTGGAGAGGTAATCTGGTAGTTGTATCTTGTAGGCTAATGTTCCAATGCGTTCGGTAACCTTAAATGGGCCAAGATACTTTTCCGAGAACTTCGGAGTGGGCCGGGTCGATCAGATGTGTTTGGCTAATATGAATACTTCGGATCCGATCTGAAATTCAGGAGCGGAAATACGCTTCCGGTCAGCCTGTTCTTTATACCGATGCTGAGCATTAGTAATTTCATCATGAAGGAATGAATGAACTTCATCCAAGTTGATGACAAAATCACGAGCCCAATCGGATCGGATATCAACTTCCGGTTGAATGGATACATTTGGATGGTAACCTTTGTTAGCGAAGAAGGGTGTAATACCTGTAGACGCATTTGGTGCATTATTGTACACGAACTCGGCCATTGGTAGAAGGCCGGACCAATTGTCCTGTTGGTAATTGCAATAAATGCGGATATATTGCTCCAGGGTTTGATTGACTCATTCAGTTTGACCATCGGCTTCAGGGTGATATCCAGAAGTATAGTGAAGTTTCATATTTAATGATTGGCCGAGGGCCTGGAAGAATGCGGACACGAATTCCGAGCCTCGGTCTGAGGTTACATGACTCGGTACTCCGTATTTTGAGAAGACGTGAATGACAAAAAGTTCAGCTAATTGTTCGGATGTGATTGTAGTATGACACTTAATAAAAATGGATTGTTTTGATGATCGATCCACAATGACTAGGATGGAATTGTAACCATCCGACATCAGAAGTTCTTCAATAAAGTCCATGGATATGGAATCCCAAGGGTGCGTCGGTACTGGAAGAGGTTTCAGCAATCCATAAGGCTGATGTCAGCGGGACTTGTTCCTACCACAAGTAGTGCAGGAGGCAACATAGTCTCATACGAAATCCCAGACCTTAGGCCAGGTATACTGCCGACGAATGGATTCTAGAGTCCAGTTTTGACTGAAATGGCCAGAAAGAGGGTGATCATGGAAATATCGTAGAACTTGTAGCCGTAGATCTGAGTGATTCGGAACGTATATCCAGTTATCAAGTCGTAGTAGATCATCTTCGCCCAATGTCCATCGAGGCTTAGTAGCGTCTTGGGCATATGTGAATCCTAGTGCAGAATCCGGATCAATTGGTAATGATTGCCAAATTGCTTCATGTAAAGCATTGATGTCCATAACGATCGATGCCCGGAGGACCGGTCCTTCAAGGAAAGTAGCCCGAAGTGAAGTGGTCAGCTGTTCATTAGTGAATACAGGTCGGAAGTTCTGTGGATTGACTTGGGCATATCCGATATCCCCCTCTTTTGGGTAGACGTCCCATCGTTTAGTGATGGAGTCCGGCTTTTCCCCTAATTTACCCGGTCAGAACCAGATCACCAAATTGAATTGGTGAAGGTATTCGGATCATCGGACCTGTCTCCGAGTCAGAACTTTCATTGTGGAAAAGTACTCAAGATTTTTATGGTCGGTGACCACATCGATCGGGTCTCCGGCGCCTTCGAGGTAGTGCCGCCAAGCTTTAAAAGCTTCGAAAATAGCTAGAAGTTCTTTATCATGAACATCATAATTTAGTTCCGCTGCGTGAAGCGTGCAGGAAAGAAAAGCGATTGGATGTACTTCCCTGTCCGAAAGCCAAATTGAAAGGATTGCTGCGATCACATAGTCGGAAGCATCAGTTTCCACGATGAGTGGTCGATTAGGTTCCCAGTGAGCTAGAATAGGAGCGCTGGTGAACGCATGCTTGAGATTTTCGAAAGCCGACTGGCATTCCGCAGTCCAAATCCAATCTGTTGTTTTTTGGGTGAGTCGGGTTAATGGAATCACAATGTCGCTATAATTGTAAATGAAACGCCTGTAGAAATTGGCAAATCCGAGAAAAGACTGAATATCTTTGACCTTTTGAGGCACTGGCCATTCAATAATAGCTTTTACCTTATCTGAAGACATGGTAAGGCTGGTGGGAGATAAAATGTACCCGAGATATTCGACCGTGTCAACTCCGAAGAAACATTTCACGAGATTGCAATAGAGTTGAGCTTGTCGGAGTCTTTGGAGGACTTCTCGGACATGTTCCTTGTGATCTTCCGGATTATCGGAATATACTAGAATATCGTCAATGTAAACGATCACATAAACGTCTAGTAAGTCTGCAAAGATAGTGTTAACAAATCTTTGAAATGCAGCCGGGGCATTGGTGAGTCCTTCCGGTATTACTTTCCACTCGTAAGACCCGTAGCGAGTCCGGAAAGCAGTCTTCCATTCATCACCTTCAGCAATTCGTACAAGATGATAGGCATGAGCTAAATCGAGTTTAGTGTATATGGCCGCCTCCTTTTGGGGCGCATCCAGCAAGTCGGATATTAAGGGTAATGGGTATCAGTCCTTCTTCGTGATGCGATTAATTCCTCGGAAGTCAACACATAGTCAGAGAGATCTGTCCTTCAGTGTGAATAGAACCGGTGCACCATAGGGTGAAGAGGAGGTTTGAATTATACCTGTAGCTAGTTGCTTATTCAGGAAATCACAAAGGGCCCCCAATTCTTTTGGAGATAAGGGGTACAGTCTTCCAAGAGGTGGCTTGGCACCTTCTTCTAAATCAATCTTTAGGTCATAAGATCGATGTTCCGGAAGCTCTTCGGAAGAGCTCTTGTCGAAGACATCAGCAAATTCGGCATATTGATCTGGAAGGGTAGATCCTCATTCCTGAGATTCAAATTCTTCAGTACTAGAACCTTTAGCAGTAATTTCGGAAGGGATGTAACGAAATAGGATTGGCTCGATACCAGTGTCCTTGCAGACCCAGTTGAAAGCCACTGCCCCCAGAAGTGCGATGTCGACGTCCGGTTTTTCCGCAGATTCGGTACGAGATCCCATTTGTGATACTGTTGGGTATGAGTAGATGGGTTTGTATAGAAATTTGTCCGTGAGTGGACGAGGTGTAAGGTGAGAGCAAGGTTTAGAGCGTGATGCATCTGGTTTCGCTAGTAGCTCTGGAGGTGGAGCAGACACTTCGGATCTTGAATTTAAAGTATCCGGAAGTGTTGATGTCTGTTCAAAAACATCTCGGTCAGTGTTTCGGAAAGAAATTGTTTTTGTAACCCAGTCAATCAACGGATTGTAGCGGGACAAAAAACTATATCCTAGTACGGCTTTGCAAGATGAATCCAATGAAGTAACATAGAAGTTAATTGTAAAAGACTCGCCGGTCAAAAAAAGGATTGAAAGTTCGACCGTTTCCGAAATAGAATTTGCGGTAAGAGAGCCATCGAATAAACGGAGATTGATCGGAGATATAGGTTTTGTCGGAATAGAATGCTTTTTGACATAGGAAGAATTGAGGAAAGAGTCTGTAGAACCGGAATCAAGTAAGCATGGAAATTGTAGTAAAGATAATGTACTGGCCGGTTCTTCCGGTGATTGAAATTCAGTAGTAATTGTAAATCAGAGAGATCGATTGTATTCGGAAAGAGCGGATGCGTTAAGTATTACTTCCCCTGGGTAGGCACGAACCAAATCAATGCAACTCTCACTTCGTACCAGGGTACAAGAGCTGCGGATTATTTTTCCGAATCATCCGAAGATGATCGGACAGTCGTGGTAGCATCCTCAACTTCTGCTGCTCAACTGCGAGGTTGGCTCGATTTCCGATTAGGACAATCTTCTAGTTTATGCTTACTGCCACAGAACATACACAGGTTGAATTTCCTGCATCTCTCCTTCTCTTCCGGCTTGACTTTGCCGTCCGGTCCGAGATGTTTCTGGTAAGGCTTCACCTGTTGAGAAGTTGAAGAGTTTGAAGAAGATTGACCTGAAGATCCATTGCCGGCCGATTTGTTCTTATTGTCGAACCAAGGCTTCTTCCCTTGATTCTGACCGGTAGTCTGCGGGCTATTAGTACCTTTAGACTGATTTTCCGATGAAGAAGAGGTTTTGTTTGAAGGATTCGAATTACCCTTCTTACCCGGGTTCGAGGTTTTACTCCCCGAACCTGATCTGCCGTAATGAGCAGACTCTCATTTCTTCTCTTCTTCTCTTCGCCAGTACCGGTTGTCGATCTGGAGAACCTCTGCCCGATATTCGGCAAGGTTTCGAGGCTCCGGAACATGGGCCATTTCATCCTTAATTCGGGACGCTAGGGCATGCTGATAAGCCCACTTCAAGGAACTCGAATTCCAATTGGTGAGAGCAGCGAGTGTATTGAATCAGATGTTAAATTTACAAACCGATTCGTTTTCCTTCATCTTTAAGTTTCCGAGTTTATCCTCAGCATCCCCCTGCGCGTCGTAAAGACTGAAATTATCTTGTAACTCCTTCATGAGTGCCGAAAAAGAACTGGTCCACATAGGAAGTGAGACTGCATTGGGGTCGAGGATATCTGGCTCGAACCATTTGCGAGCAGATCCACTCAGATAAGACAAGGTGTAAGTGATCTTCCTTTGATCAGTGAAATAGTTCGGTCAATCTAGGAAGACAAGGGATAAGGAAACTAGGAAGGATTTAAGTTTCCGAGGCTCAAGACCATCGAAAACATCTGGTTCCTGAACTTTCGCTTTACTGGATTCGGAAGGCTCCAATCACATGACCCAATCC